GTATGTACTCAGTTTTTCCGGCGTTCAACAAAAAAAAACAATGCCCCCAACCAGGATTGAACTAGTGACCTTCGCATTGCTACCAAAGACGGAAATACAAGTGCGACGCGCTACCACTACGCCATAAGGGCTTAATACTGGGTTCAGGCTTATAATATATGACACGGAGGGCCAAAGTGGGCCCTTAAACGACCTCAAAAAAAATCTCAATTGAATCCAGACCATTTTAATTTCTTACACCGCTTATTCCTGACACCATCGCCTCGTCTCGTCTTACTTGATTGCTCAGTATTCCTTAGAAACAGTTATCGCATTATCGGAGATTACTCCTCTATCTAAATTCCTCTATCTAAATTTGTAGTTAAAAATCGCTCAACTTGTATCGTTTCAGCACTGAATATTACTCCCCAGAGCAGGTCGGAAATTATAGCGGAGTTTAAACTGCGTGTCCTTGTTTCACAGAGTGCCTTTAATTAACCTCTTCAACCCAGCCCATACATAATGTCTTGGGTTCAAAAAATCCTTAACCAATTCGCTCTTGTTCCTCCCAACCCATAAGAGGACGGATTTTACGGCCCTTATAATAAACTTCTCCACGCACTCTTCCCTACAGATACGGATTTCACTGTGACCCCACAGTATCTGCAAATCGGTTCGACCCGAGTGGTTAATTTCCTGGTGACTTATGAGGTGCTGCCAAGAAACAGGCCGGTCTTTGTCCTAGCGCTTAAAGCTCCCAGAGAACTCGTATACATATCCAACCGTCAGGATGCCGACGAACAGATGAGGAGACGATTGGCGGATTTGAGGGGTAAGACGATCTTGTTCGATAATCCCTTGGCATGTTATTGAATTCGAACTAGATACATGCCCCATTCCAACTCTGCATGGAGTGTGCACGATGGGCACTAGACTCTGCTTCTATCATGTGCCTTCAGGCAATCAGAATGCCGTAATATACCCCCCTGTTATCCCGCGCCACTGCCGTGCTAGCACCGCCATTGTTCACTGGCTTCCGTGGCCTTGACGTCTCTCGGGAGGTGACCCTGCCTGTATTTCAACCTCCAACAGGGACGTGTTATAGCAAAACATATTGTATTCTCTAGAGCATTACTATCATAGTTGATTGACAATTAAACACAAGGATTGAAGAAATGCGAAAGTAGTTGTCGATGAAAATTTGCGAGCGCCTACTGCGTCTGTTAGCGGCTTCGGCGACAAAATACGAAGTTCGTTGACGAGAGAGAGGAGAGATGAGCGAGATGAGATGGAAGGGGACACCAAAGAAGGGAGATAAGGAGACAGCGGTTTTCCGAACTTCTGGTGAGATTTTAGGGCATAAAAGTCGGGATCAATTAACTTGTGTAATTAGCAAACAAAACTGGGACTTATACTACTTAGTGGAGAGTACAAAACTAGAGACGAACGATCTTCGGTAACTACATAAAAGAACAATGAGAAAGGAACAGAAAATTCGAGCGAATTTTTCGATGGGAACAACAAAATCCAAGTGTGGAAATGGTAATAAGTGTTCGAGCGGTGTCAGCACAAGTGTACGGTGAATACGCAAAGGAAATATTGGGATGAATACTGAATTAAAGAAATTAAGGTAACAGGAGATAGAGAGCGAGTCAGAAATAAACGTATGAGTGGCACAAGAAACAAGGCATGGTATGAATCGCAAAATGGAGTACACACTATTGAAGTTTCGAGGAACGAACAGTAAGAAAACAAATAGCGGTCAGCCGAGGGGAATAACAAGGTCCGATAAGCACTGCGTGACGGAGGGATATGGACGCTCTGAAACTATGAGAGATGTTGACCGGCATCCCATTTCATTGGTAGCCGGCCTGCGTTCTCTACAGGATATCGATCACACCCGGAGAACACCCGCTCATGAGACGGTAATTCTCTTCGGCTCCTGCTCAGGGGACGACCTGGGGAATAGAATAGTCAATACCCCGTCAGCCATCGTTGCTTTGACATTCTCGTCCTATGGAATGGATTAGGCCCCCGCAATGTATAAGACACGGTACAACTTACCTTGATACCCTGAGGTAACCTCAACGACCGAGAGAACTTGCCAAACCGCCGTTCACGGATGCTATAACCATTCTCCTCGTGCTCACTTGAAGATTTACTTTCAGCAAATATCGTGAGGGTATCGTTATGGACTTCTAGTCTGACGTCTTCTTTACTGATGCCCGGGAGTTCAAACGTGGCTGTCACAAAACCCTTTTCTTTATCCTCGTAAAGGTCCATCCTATATGAGAGTCAGTACTTCAGGCAGTCGACAAAGGTGAGATGTGGAGATATACCTTGGTTTGAAAGGCTGTGTTGAAACGGCACCCTGACGTTCGGGTTGTCGTGCTCCAGCATCAGTCCCGGATTGGACTTGCTCAAGGAAGCGGTCAACATTGTAGAAGGGTTCGTAGAAGAGAATGTTGGACATGGAAGAAGAACGGTAAAAGTGTTGTAGATCTTTGTGATTCGAGAGTGAGTTGGATAATGCCAGTGAAGGCTGCGGCGTTCTTTCGGCTGGTTTTATATGTCTTGGGGGTATTCATGATGCTTCTAGAAGGTCATGGTACTGCCCTTGAATGGGAGGTGGTGTCGACAAGGTGCCAGAGATCCGAGAAGCCCATGGAATGTTCTAGAGCATTGTTTGGCCGACTTGAATATAGCGCATATGTCGTACGGCGACAGGTATGCATTTAGGGCACCATCGGGTATAAGGAATTCCAGCCGTCTCCCACTCATTAACAAACTATTGCGGCACCGGTTGTACCGAGCTTGGTGTCACCCTGGGGAAAGGCAAGCTTATCAGAATCTGAGGCTTGATCGAGTTCGCTGGGTCCCATAATAGCAAAAGAGTCCCTGTATGATCGCTACCTGGTAGATGTGGATTTCTGAGGGCGGAATTATGTAGAAGTATCAGAGCTCGAATCACCGGAATGGAAGTCATTTCAGTCGGAACAGGGGGTAGCACCCACGGAGACGAATGTCGCGGAAAACAGAAACATGATAGGGCTATGGTAACGTTAAGGGCTCCGCGAAGTGTTGAATACAGGCAAGTTGGACTAAGCAGTGTCGAGGGCCGAACCCAGGGAAGTTTTGTTTGAGGTTTCGACTCAGGAGCGAAGGATTTTGGGAAGCACGTGATCATGGTTAGGCATTGGAAGTGACGTCATCAGCGTTTAATAAAGCCAAGCCAGCACCCAAGTCTATAATCGTATACCCATTGGCCTTGTGGAGCTTCCCTGCCAGCATCCCACGCACGAGGTCCATACATGAGGTTGAGTGATGGTCGAACCGTGGATCGTTGTTGGGCCTCTAGACGTTCTTCCACATCCATGAAGCCCCTTAACCAATACCAGCATTATATACCCCGCTTCATTCTCCGCGCATTTCAGGAGTCAGATCCACCTGCCTTTCCGTAAGGCCAAACCAACCTATCTATTATCTGGGTTTGGTGCTCACTTCGTAAAGGTCACTCCCTGCTTCCAACAAGAAGAAAAAACGAGTCGTACAAAAGCAACGGCTCACGGAGGCCATTCATCGTTACGACCTTTCAACTGAAGAATATGATCCAAGTTCTTTGGTGTCCCGATCTTATGGCTTCGCAAACCTGTATAGGGACACCAATAACGATGCGAACATGAACCACATCGAAGACAAATTCGGAAAGCTCGAGAGTGATGCTGCTAGGATTCTCAAATATGTGAAGGATAACATCGACAATCGAAGGCAAAACGTTGACCTTCTTCGGAAGGATTTGTACACCCTTCGAAAATTCCTCTTTCTTTTGCACCTTAGGACCAAGAAGAGGAGCACTACATATTTTCAAGAGGACCATCCTGACAACGTTCGTCTCCGGGGTTGGATCCAAAAGCAGAAGACGCTCCATGATCTCCCCTCCGACATGCACCTCTGGTTGAATGGTCTCGATTACTATTTGGAGACGCCAGTAGACCAAATTTTGGAGGACGCTAAACAAGATGCGAAGACTGTTTCCGAGATGTTTTCTATGGCATTCAATCCTGATCACTGTATGAACCCTGACACCGACCTCAAGCGCTATCATGCGCAGGCGTACGAGGGTTTCCATAATTGGTACTACCTATCTATTTGTAAAGCCGCTCCGAGTAGCGAGTTCGTTCTCGGGGACAACTCCTTTGGATTATGGGAAGGCACTGTCGGCGGTGAGGGTGGTCAAGTCCATCGGATCTACGTCATCAGTCCCCAGGTCGCTATCATCCTCAGGTTGAACATGACAAAGGACCATATGTTCAGCATGATGATGGTGAACAGTATCTTAAACGACGTCGCCTTTTCACCGCCCGTTACTCGATACATCGCCCCTATGTACATGGGTCATTTCGTCCCTTCATTCTCTCCAAACGACTCTTTCACACTCAAGGTTCACCAATTGACCAAGTCGCAAACATATAAAGTCAACGAGATCGTTCTGGAAAATTTGCATGAAGATGGAACGCTCACTTTTGCCTCGGAGGACATCATGCTCACCACTTTAGCTGAGTATGATAGCCCCAATGGGTCGTTCGCGAAACCCCGCCGCGCTGCACTACGAAAGTTGAAAGACTCACTCTCGCAACGCATCCACTCTCGTGGGCGACCAAATCCGACCCCTCCCAATCCTAGTGGCTCCGGCGCCTATCCACCCGCACCGACGACCCCGGGCGCTATGGGTGTCATGCCCGCCCCAGGCCCGTTCGATATTAATTTCGGTGTCAGCGTCAATCAGACTGACGACACAGAATACTTGGGTACCGGCTCCGCGACTCGTACCCAAGACCATTTACAGCCGCATGATAACATGGATTCCGGAGGCCCGGACGCGATGGAAGGAAGGATGCCCGTGAGCAGTGGTGTGGCACGGCGGGTTCAAGTCATAGACGCCGTTAACATAGATGAAGATACCTCCCTGGTAGCCGCCGCATCCCCCCAGAGTATCGGAGCGTTCTATTCCCCGGAGTCTACACCCCAGCATGTGTCGGAAGCATCCGAATCTGCACAACAGGAGCCATTCCCCCCTACCACCAGACACGATACACCTCGAGAAACTCCGCAACAGGCACGCGGCGAAACCACTTCGTTCGATAGCAGCGCA